TTTTTTTTTTTTTTTTTTTTTTTTTTTTTGGCCTGTGTAAATGTCAGTAAGATTATTGGTGTTTAGCGTAGAGAAATTGTTCAACAACATTATAAAACCATTGCATTACAAAACCATTACAGTAGAAGGGATATTTGATTTTCTGCTCATAAGAAGTAATTGAGACATGTTACTTGTTATTTTTTGAAGGTATTTCCAATAACAGAATTGGCTGTAATTGGGCTTCTGATGCACTTCCTGACTCACCCTGAGATGGCATTTGTATAATTTGAAAGATATTCTAATATTTTATGCAAGTTAGTGAGGTAAGCCTTGTAAAATAGAGGAAGTAGATAGGTATGTTTGCAGAGGGTTTTATATTCTGACAAATATTTTTGAGTATATTTTCTTATTTAATCCTGGTGACATCTCTAAGACTTAGACATGTGAAGGGACCTGAAGTCATACAGCTACTAAGTGACCAGCGGAGGGCTCAGGCCCACCTCTCTTGTCAGTGCACTGTCCCCTCACTGCACAGTGCTGCTGTCATCAGGTCATGCAGTGTGTCTGCAGATGCTGCTGCCATGTCTTGACAGTGGTAGCACTGCATCTTGCTTCTAAATTCAGGGTAGTAGTAAGGTCTCTGGCATCCTTTTAGAGAGGCGTGCAGAACTATTTTTGTCTGTAGAATTAATTTTTGAAAAGTCAGGATATTCATGAAGTTCTTTTAAACTTAAGTCTTGACAAAATTAACTGAAATTAGAAAGGTGATTTCTGAAGAGACTGGGGAGGAATAATGATAAAAAAATATAAACTGCCAGGTATGCTCATTAGTGTCTTGGTTTTATATATTTTCAAGCTTAAAAGAAATGTCGAATGAGCTTCTGGCATTTGATACTACAGTTTACTTGGGTACTTTTAAGACCTGTGAAAATATGATACTGGTGGGAATTGATTTTGTTCTCTCTTGCCTACTACCTGTAAACGGTAACTTTAATTCTGTATATCTGTTCTCATTCTTTTAAGTGTAACTATTATATTTTAATCTTTAATGTTGTAAGGAGAATTGTTACATGCAATAACAGATACAGAAGCATGAAGAATCTTGGTTAAACCTGAGAAGGAGTTACCTGACAGAAAATGGGTAATATAAAACTAAGTATTTAAGGCCTTTTGAAACGGAATTTTAGGCATGGTTGCTGCTGTAATGTGTCACTAAGGGAAGATATGAAATTTCTTCCTCTGAAGATCCTGGAAAATGGGTTTCATTCTCTTCCACTTGGGGGCCTTGCTCTTATCCTCTTTAGTCAGATCTCAATTCTGAGATGCTCTGGGGGCTGAGGGGTCTTGAAATGTCATTTTAAGATTCTTTCTTAAATTCTAAGGGTCGGCCCATGGCTCACTTGGGAGAGCATGGTGCTGACAACGCCAAGTCAAGGATTAAGATCCCCTTACCGGTCATCTTTAAAAAAAAAAAAGACATTCTTTCTTAAATTCTAAAGAAGAGATACTAAGAAACTATGAAATGACTCAAAGTCAGTAGATATATAGAAAAGACAGAAAGGGCTAACTGGGGTTATCCACAAAAGCAGTCATCAGTTACTATATTCCTAAAAATAAAGTATGATTTGCTGGCTAGCGTGTACAATTGGTGATAACTAATGAGTGTCCCATTTCTTCTGCCTGTTGGTACAAAACAGTGAGACAGTTTAAGCAGAAGCATCTCACAGCCATCGACTGCCAACATTTGGCCCAGAGTCATTTGGCTGTGACCCAGCCCTTCGGCCAGAGATGGACAAACATAGATCCGAACCATGGTCTCTATCCTAGACCCAGGACAAAGAGAGGGAGAAGGGGTACGTCTTCCAATAAAGTGTCTTGCATTTAAAATTTATAGTGGGTGTGGCCTTTGACTATCTCCCAGTTTAAAAGTATTTGTAAGTATTGCTGCTGTGATCTTGTAGTCCTGTTGCAGTAGTTTGACAGTTTTTCATTACTTGTGAGTTTTCCATGAAAATTCTGTCTGATTACAGTGGTTGACAAAAGCCCTGGGAAAATGTGATGGGATGAATCCCATTAGCTTGTGTAATTGTAGAGCGAAGGAATGCATGGACCAGTGTCACCATATTCCAACCCAGAAACATTGTGATTATTTGACTCTTCATCAGTTGTCTTTGTCCAATCTGTTGCTAGGTCCACCATGTCATTATTTTTCCTTCAAAATATTCCCTCATCCAATGTTTTCATGGTAGACTGTGCCCTTTGTCACCTAGGACCTAGACCACTGCAGTAACCCTTCTCCTTGACTTCAAATTTTATTTCTTCCACATCAACTGGAATATATGTCATCAAGTTAATATTCTTGAATATGATAATTTTCTATAATGTCATAGCCATTCTCAAGAACCTACAGTAAAATGTTGCCCCGTTACTATCATGGATGCAAGCTCACCCTTGCCATCACCTCATGTTTATTATTATTATTATTATTATTTACAGCCAGTCAAATTTAGCAGTGGGGGGTTGTATACCAGCTTTAATGACACTAATGTTAATAAGTTGTAGTAACCTACTACCATCGGACCAGTCTGATATTTATTATTAATAAATGAAAGTTCCACTTCTGGCAGTTTGGTTTTCTTTTTACTCCTCTACATGCCAAATAAATTCCTGCTTTTGTTAATGCCTGTTAGTATAATCTAGATTGCCTTATTTCCCTTTGATATATCTAATTTCAGAATCCAACTCAAATATTATCTAATTTTCCTTAAATATTTTAATACATGTTTCTCACTTTTGGGAACTACTATGACCAATTGTGTGAGGCAATTTTAAATTTAATTATAGTATTGTTTGTTTTGTGTATTTAAGTTAACTTCTCACCTGTGTTGTGAGTTATTTTAAAATTTTAAAATAAAAAGATACAAAAAAAATAAAAATAAATAATTTTTAGGAGTTTGAAAATACTGTGGTGATGTGTGTCATCACCATTTGGGCTCCCTACATGGCTGAAAAGTCCGTGAAGTCAGAGATCATACCGTTTTTCATTTCATATTCGCCTCAGAATCATAAGTACTTAGTAAATAAATGCCAATTGAATAAATGAGTAGAAGAGATTAGGTGCCATTCTTTTTTTTTTTTTTTTTCCTTTTTGAGACTGGCCGCACTGCGCTCAGCTAGTGAGCTCTGTGAGCACACCAGTCATCCCTATATAGGATCCGAACCCGCAGCAAGAGTGCTGCTGCGCTCCCAGCGCCGCACTCTCCCGAGTGCGCCACGGGCTCGGCCCAGGTGCCATTCTAATAATAAAAGAATTATGACTCCCTCTTTTATTTTAAAATAAATTGTGTCAGCTTCAGAGGAGGACAAAAAAATAAATTAAAAGGGATTTAATGCTGTCAAATGAGAAGAGTGTAATTTTCTGAATCCTGATAACTTAAAGCTTGTTCCTCTGTGCTTAAGCAAGCTAGACCTCCTATCACAGGGGTGAGCCAGGAGAGGTGCGCTGCATGCATGCAGGTGTACATATGAGCAGTCATCTCCCTTTGGTCTGCATTCAGGTGCTCAGCGTGCAGCACGCCACTCATACCTGTATGCACTGCAGGGTGTTATGTGGGCCCTCACACTGCATACTGGGGCTCTGTCTCTTCCCAGATGTGTGTCTGATTATATGACAGAGCCAAATATAAATATTTTTTTT